ACCTATTTATTATTTATTGCTGCTGCACAACTTCGTCTTCTATGTCTTCTGTGTATTATGTCTTATGTTTTGTCTGTGAGGGAGGGGTTTTCAAGTAAGAATTTCATTGTGCTCTGTACGCTGTATTTTGTACATATGACAATAAACGTCAAACTCAAAACTCAAATTATACTTTTTCTGTTTTTTGTAAACTGCAGTCTGGCTCTTCCCTGCTTCTCATTAATGAAGGGCTTCTTCCTTCCTTTATGGGTCTTCAGTCCTGCTTCTAGGATCCTGTTATGAACTGTCCTAGCAGTGCACTTCACGCCTGCACTTAATGTTTCCCATTCTTTTTGAAGGTGACTTGAGGTCATCCTCTGATTTATGAGGCACTGCTGGATAAGTTGACAGTCATCTCTGGCATTAGAAAGTCACTTCTGCCCTCTGCCTGGCTGGTTTCTGGTCATTCCCAGTGTCTCCTGCTTCACCTTATTCTTGTGTACTACTGTCTTAGAGACTTTGAACCTTGAAGCATCCTGATGCTCAGCGTAGCCTTCTGCCAGCAGAACCCGAATTAAAGCAGGATTCAAGAATGCTGATTTTTTTTTTAATGTACAGAGGTCTGTTAATTTTTTCCAGAGCTATACAACTGAAAATCTCCCACCTTATATAGGATGCACTACATTTATTGGTTGTCTAATATATGCTGAAATATACGTTAGAAATAATAACGAGGTATATCTCCGTAAGGTGACCCGTGTTCCCCTATCAGTGCAAAAACCGGAGACGGGTGTTTCCTGTGGGCTAAGATGAGCGGGTTGAACTGTCACGATATTGGCCTGCATAATTAACAACACGGTTATGTCAGTGTAACCGTGCCTCACGCTGATTGTAATTGGGCGGAGAGCATTTCTAATCATCGTTGTAATTGCGTGACATTTTTAATACAGGCCTGCGAAATACAGTAATGGTAGGTTTAAGAGCTGGGCATCATCTCATTTATGCAGTTTAACATGACATTGAAGGAAGATTTACAAATCAGTTCAATTTTAGATATTGTCCTGTAAATCCCTTTGTAAAAAAGTATCGGGGGGGGGGGGGGCATTACGTCATGTTCACTTACCTGCTTTTGAAAAAGTGAGATATGACCACCTTTTGTTTAAAAAAAAACATGAATATAATTTAGGTTTTTATTAATCTGAAATATATATATATATATATATATATATATATATATATATATATATATATATATAAATTTTATTAACTGTGATTTTTTTTGTGATTGTTGGCAATGACGTTGGAGAGAGTTTGTTATTTGGAGGGTCAATATTTGTGGAGGTCTACTTTTGGGGGGAGGACGAATGAAGCCAGATTAAATAGGCCTATAGCCGGGATTGGGTTTTGGATAGCTTCTTATCTGATTCACACTGAAAGGGAACTTCGTAACATTCATGCGTGTTAGAAATGCTCCTGGCTTTACCGTGTTTACCTGCGCGTAATATAAATAGTAAAGGTTAATTAGTTGGGTAGGAAACGCGAGCTGGGCTTGGCAGTTAGAATTTGATACAGGCAGGTAACTCAAGAATTCTCCATTGTCATTGCAGTAAGAAGTATATAAATCAACCGCGGATGATAACAGGCACCACAAAACCTCGCACATCCTCACTTGTCACATCGGCAGAAAGGAGCTTGGAGGTAGGTGTGCGGGTCCACTGCGGGCATCTCTGTGCATCCAGCGTTTATTATTGAATATCTGTTCGTCCTAATAATTTGGATGGATTTATGTCGGCTCATTAGAAAGGAAATAGTAGATTACATATGATTTTACCCTTTTTTTTTTTTTTTACAATACATTGTTTTGTTGCGCAGTCTAAGTAATTCTAGTTTCTGTAACGCATTTCCATAAACGCTTGTGGAGATTTATCGTAGGTGAAAGAAAACATCACGTACGAGAGCTAAACTTCAAACTTCACAAGTACGAAATAGTGAAGATAGTGAAACTGGTGGCCTTTAAAGCAAATGAAAGCCATCTGAAGATAACGCCTCAAGTAATGTGACGTAGGCCTTTTGCGTGACATGGCGATTTCGACGACTAACGGCTCAGTGGAAACTATTTACTATTAATATTATTTCTCAAACAAGTTTTATTTTGAGTGAAATTTCACCCTAAGTGTCAACAGTGTGTTGTATGATTATACAGCACAGAAACATTTTACTAAATACATATAATCTTTTTTAACAGGTTTAGAATGTCGCTCACATCCGTCCTGTCCGCTGATGCGATTGCTAATGCTTTGAAGGAGTGCAAAGGTATGACAAGCCACTAATATACTCAACAGTTCCAGCTCTCTTTGGTTTTGTGTGCGTCTTTTCCTTTCGGTGTGCGTTTAATTATTATTATTATTTTTGCTTGCTTTGTTTATAAGCTGAATTTTGTCTAGTGTGTATTTAGAGTAACAGTGAAATACATTGTGAGGAGTATTACAGAGAAATTACTGCTGATTTATACAGAATGTCCGGTATCTGGGTAGTTTCTATTTTGTAAAATATTTTTGAAATATTTGCCCATTTTTATTGTAATGATATGTTTACTGAATATAACTGCATCACATATAGATTTACATCCTTAGGCTGTAGTTTTGACATAATAGCAAAGTGAATTCCAGTACTGTGAAAATGTGCTTTGTATTTTTATTCGCATAGAGTAGCGAGTGCCAACAGTCTGCCAGGATTCTCTGCATCACAGACATAGAAAACACCCTTACTGCTTCACTGTCATAGAGCCCTATATCATATATCTTTAGACTGCAGCATGTATGTCGAGTTTTTGAGGTGACCCACAGTGTGAGTTCACAGCCTCAGATGACTCGCAACTGAACTCCTTGCCCCAACAGCACCAGACACCTTCTGTCATAAGAAGTTCTTCCAAACATGTGGACTGACCAAGAAGACTTCCCAGGAAGTGAAGAACGTGTTCCGCATCCTCGACGATGATGGGAGCGAGTTTATTGAGGAGGACGAGCTCCAGTAAGCATATTGCTAATTCGTGGTATTTATGAGTATGACCTCATCCTGTGCGTGCGCTTTCCAAATAAGGCGTTGCGTACACAGGATATGTCTTTCACTTTTGAAGTATGAATAAACTTGTTCTCTCAACCAGCACCCATCCTGGCTTATATTCAGTATCTCGGGGCTATTCTTCACGTCATGGAGACTTCGGCTGAAAGTGAATAGTTGGTTGGAAATAATATGGCTTTGTGAAACAGCCACATAAATAGTATTTTGATACTCTGCTAGCTGAAATCATGAAGAGACATCCAGGCCATATTCACAAGCTATGATTCCCATTGATGAGTGTTTGAGATATGATGCGTAATTCTAAGCAGGTGATGGTTTTGGATTTCATCGTGCAGCGTCTAAATGTGCTTGAATGTGATCTATTCCAGATTCTTCCTGCAGCGATTCTCTCCCAGCGCACGCGTGCTCACGGAAAGTGAGACGAAGAAGTTCATGCTTGCCCTAGATGAAGATAACGATGGCAAGATAGGCATTGACGGTACGCTGCTTCTCCGACTCCTTGGGCTAATCTCTCCACTCCAAGCCAAAAAAGAAGAACCATTTTGTACACAGAGGCATAGATAGAAATTCTGAGCCCCCTGACAAAATGTCATCTTGGACCTCCACCCAGTTTTACATATACAAGGGCCCTGCAAAATGCTGTAGCCCCCTGATTCTGTAAGGATAACTATGCCCTTACTACAGCCTTGCATGTGCATGAAAATACACAACATTTGTTTGAAAATGTTTTGTGTTTTGTCTAGAAGAAATACATAAGACATGGCTAAAAGGGATTCTACAAAATAGTGGCTCTACCTGGTCTTTTGAGTTTCCCATATACTTCCAAATAAAAGTGTGGGGGAAAGGATTTCTTTCTCATGTGAAGATTAGTCTTTTCTCCCTCTGTATATGTAACTGACACTTCTATTCTTCCTTACCAGAATTCGAGCATGCAGTTTTGTCCTGAAGCTTTCAGCGGAGCAGAAAGAACAGCCTTCACTCCTATCTGCCTGGGGGGGTCAAATCCACTTTAGTGTCAGCAGCCCCACCCACCCTTCCTCTCCCACCCACCCACCCAACCTTGCTGTCCCAACCACCCACCCAACCCTGCTGTCCCAACCTACCGATGGCCTTGTTTTGCCCACACTGCCACCTAGTGAGGATTTTGTGTGCTGTCCTCTACACCTTCACCACATTTTTAACCTGGATCTTAGGAGAAAGGGTTTCAGAAGAGTGTGCGCTCCGTTCTTGCTGATGTATTAATAGAAGAATAAACAAATTTTAACTCTGGCTCCTGTTTGGTCTTTTGCTTGTTAAAATAAGTCAGCTTATTATCTCTTATTAACAGGCATATACAATGTTTTTTTTTGATACCATACATCAGGGGTGAGCAATCGTATCTGTAAAGGGCCGGTATGTATGCAGGATTTTGGGGTAACCCTTAGGTCAGCTGATCAAACCCAGGTGTGAGGACTCTTCAAATTATGGGGTCACAACGAAAACCTGCATATCCAACAGGCCTTTCTGGGTATGACTGGCCACTCATACTATATACCAGCTTAAGATACAAAAGATTGCAGAATTTTAAAGAACTGTTCTTTTGTGACAGAATGTTTCATAGGCAAACTGACCTCTTTAACTGTGATAGTCCAGCCATCAGTCTATGGATCCAACCATTCACTTTGTCCATCCTTCATCCAACTACTCAGAGTTCTCTTCTCACTGAATCTACATTGGAGCAGAAGAAAAAGCAGCATTTGAATCCATGTCAGTTATGCTACCTCAGCAACACCCCATGACAGTATTACAAGGATATCGATTTGGGTGTGGAAGGGGCCGCAGTGCCACCCACACCCTCCCTTTACGGCATGTCTAGGGACATGTCCTTACCAGTGCCTGAAATGGGGAAGCCAGTACTCCCCTTGTTATTCAGCCCCAGGTGCCAGTACTCCCCTTGTTATTCAGCCCCAGGTGCCAGTACTCCCCTTGTTATTCAGCCCCAGGTGCCTGTACTCCCCTTGTTATTCAGCCCCAGGTGCC